CTGCAGCGCATGTCACTACAAGGGGGCGCCGACAAGCTTATGGATGGTCCTGCACATGCTATCCACCACGTGCTCGCCTGAATAGTTGGCCTTCACGAGCGCCGCTACGACATACGGGTACGACTCCTGGTGCTTCCCCCATTTAATCGAATTCAACTTGCGCCAGAATTCAGAGCCGCACATCAAAGTTTGCCCCGAGACGTCCACATTCGTGAAGGTCTTGAGGGCTTCATCTATTTCACGGAGAAGTTCTCCGTTTTGTGGCCCGAGCTCAACAAACTTGCACAAGTCAGCGATCCACGCCTTGCAAGGTGGGTTCGCGTGGCCCGCTTGCTCGGCGATGTCGCGCCAATCGGGCTTGCTGGAACCCTCAGCGAGGCTGCGTGCCAAGAGCATCCGCCCACCTGCCTGCAGCAAGCGCCGAGCCGATCAAGTGCTGCAGCACGGTAAGGCATGATGCTCCTGCTCCTCGTTCTCACCTCCTCCCCAACGCACTCCCACTCATCACCCTCCTCGTGCATCATCCTGGTCCTTACTACATACCGCTATATACTACAGTGGGGATAGGCTGCAGCCTGACCGAATGATCTCGGTCTCGTGAACCGCCCCCCTGACGTCGGCGTTCAAAGCCCTCTGCACGAAGTTCTTGAGGCCCTTCACTTTGGCCACCGCGTGCTTGATGATCAACCACGTCAGGCCCTTTTTGACTGCCGTCGCAAGTTGCGGATGCAACGCGCACAGCTTTTCGGAGTCGATGTTGTCCCGAGAGTCTGCCAGCGCCTTCACTGTGGTCGGCGCCTTGGCCAGCACGCAGCGGAGGAAGACGTTCGTGTGGGAGCCGCCCACTGACGTATACCGCAATGAGTCCAGCGGGGGGCACCGACCCCCGCTGAGCCGCGAAAGGCGGTCGTTCGCCATCGCGGTCTCTTCCAACTGCGCCCCCTGCGGGGCCTCGAAGGCAGTGGCTGCAGCCGTCTTGGCCAAGACGAAGCCCTGGGCGCAAATCTTCGCGCCTAAATTGTGAGCCCGCGCAGGGTTCACTAACGAACCGCTGCGGTTCCGAATGTCGATGCCCATCTGGTTCGGTGGGACCTGCTGGTAATACGCTTGCCCCTCCGCCAGCAGGAACTCCTTCAGTTGACCCCGCCCCGATGCCGACCTCCCCGAGGCATTGCTTTCCTCGATGTACTGCAAGATCTGCTCCTCCTGACGCGCCTGCAGCGCCATGCCAGCGCTATATATAGCGCCGAATGCAACGTGCGAGCCCGCGGGCGCGACGGCGGATGCGGCGCGCGGCCGCAGCTTGAGACAAGCTGTCGCGCGGCGTGCGCGTGAACATCGACCTACATGGACATGCAACTTGCGAGCAAAAATGTTGATCTGGGCTGCAGCCCGAGGCCCATGAAGCACGAGCGCGCACGCGCTGCAGCGCGATGCGACATCACGACGACAACCATCTTTTTGCGCTGCAGCGCAAAGTAACATACGCGCTATCAAATTTGGAGCGCTGCAGCGCTCAATGCGACCATTGAAAAAACAACGAATACAACAAAACATAATTGACATGTGCATTCAAATTCCTTGCAAACGGAGCTGGGCGAAAATGAAGATCCGAACAACGTGCAACTAGAAAACATGCATTTAACTCAACATTCAGCGCTGCAGCGCTTCATCTTCAGCGCACGCAGCGCTTCATGTTCATATAAATCCGAAGGCAGCGCTGCAGCGCTTCTCATATTTAAAGCAAAAATCCAGGACACCGACTCCAAATCAAAATGCAAAATTTGTAGCGCTGCAGCGCTCAACGAACAAACTCAGCTCTTTCAAGACGTGGATTTACCTTCTTTCCCTGTGCATGGCCCTTGGATAACAAGTGCAATGTAACCGCTAAGTCACTTATAACCTACTTAGCAAACTAGCTATAAGTGGTTATAAATGGTTAGCTAAGTGCGCTAAGCACTTAGCTAACTGGCTATAAGTGGATAGCTAAGTACTTACTAAGTCATTACTAAGTGGGCCACTTAGTAATGACTGAGTAAGTACTTAGCTGAGTCCGCTAACTACTTACTAAGTGCTTAACTTAGCGTAGTATGTATGTTAAGTACTTAGCAACCGCCGCGGCCATCCAAGAATGTGTATTGGAAAGCCTTTTTCGGCGCCGCCTCACAACTCGATTTTCCGGCGCCGGCCGGAACCGGCTCCAGACCCGGCCCGGGCGCGGGCCCGGGCGCGGGCTCGGGCGTCCGGCCCGGGCGCCGGCTCGGGCGCCGGCCCGGGCGTCGGAATCGGCCCGGGAGGCTTCCCGGGCGCCGGAAGCAGATACTCAGTATTTTCAAAAGAAAAATGTGTATTGGAATGGCCTTTTTTCGGCGCCGCCTCGGAACTCGATTTTCCGGCGGCGGCCGAAACCGGCTCCAGACCCGGCCCGGGCGCCGGCCCGGGCGCAGGCTCGGGCGTCCGGCCCAGGCGCCGGCTCGGGCGCCGGCGCGGGCGTTGGAATCGGCCCGGGAGGCCTCCCGGGCGTCGGAAGCAGAAATTCAGCATTTTCAAAAGAAAAATGTGTAATGGAATGGCCTTTTTTCGGCGCCGCCTCGGAACTCGATTTTCCGGCGGCGGCCGGAACCGGCTCCGGACCCGGCCTGGGCTCCGGCCCGGGCGCCGGCTCGGGCGTCCGGCCCGGGCGCCGGCGGAAATGATGCCAGCGCTGCAGCAGGAGCACGATTCGGAACGAGCGGGGCCCGCAAATGAAGCCGGCGCCTCAGCGAGAGCAGCATTTTGGAAAAAATGCAAGCGATAACCCAACTCCGGGGAAACCTATGTGTAAAAAACAGTACGCGGGGGGGGGGGGGGGGGCGGCTACTCCCAAGGGGAAGAGGGATGAGAGTAGAATAGGAGTATTATTCAATATTGAATTACTTGCAGGAGAGGGAGGGTGGAGCCAGGAGAGAGGTGTATGGGGTACGGGGGGGGGGGGTAGGGACAGGGAGAGCGGGGCGGCAGGGGGGAGGGGGAAAAAGGAGAGAGGGGAGGGGGGGTCAAGCTCTTAGGCACTGTCGTCGTCATATCTGACATCCTACCGCTCCGTCCCGATCCTTAGCCATGGGCGCAGACCCTTATCTACTCGATTTCACATCGAATGTCGAGCAGGGACGAATGATCCCGAAAGGGTACCGATTGCATTGTAGAGCACGGCGTGGCATGGCGTAGAAGAGCACCGCAAAGCGTAGTATCAACCTAGCATTGCATTGCATGCCGTGGCATGGCACGGGAAATGACGCCAGCGCTGCAGCGGGAGCACGGGTCGAAACGAGCGGAAGCGCGGAAATGAAGCCAGCGCTGCAGCGGGAGCACGATTCGGAACGAGCGGAAGCACGGAAATGAGGCCAGCGCTGCAGCGGGAGCACGATTCGGAACGAGCGGGGCCCGAAAATGAGGCCGGCGCCCCAGCGATAGCAGCATCTTGAAACAAATGCAGGCGATAACCCAACTCTGGGGAAACCTGTGTGGAAAAAACAATACGCGGGGGGGGGTCGGCCACTATCAAATCGTCATCAAGGGAAGAGGGACAGGATACAGGGGGGAGGGGGGGAAAGGAGAGAGGGGGGGGAGGGGAAAGAGAGAGGGGGGGGACAGGAAGAGAGGGGGTGGGGGGGCGCAAACGACGAAACCCGACAAACAAATTGACACGCGAGGGGGGGGGAAAAGAGAGAGGGGAGGAGGCTCACTTCAAGCTTCGCTCTGCAAGGGGGGGGGCGCCAACGACGAAAGAATTACACGCGAGGAGGGGTGAGGGAAGGAGAGAGGACGGGGGGGACAGGAGAGGGGGGGGGGGGGGGGGAAAGGGGAACTGAGAGATGGGAGAAGGATGGAAAGGAGAAGGGGGGGGAGGGGGGCGGAGGGGGTAGGGGGGACAGGAGAGAGTAGGGGGGGGGCGTCAGGAAAGAGGGGGCGGTGGGGGAGGGGAAAGGAGAGGGGGGGGGAGACAAGAGGAGGGGGGGGGGAACAGGAGAGAGGGGGAGGAGGGGGGGAAGGAAGCGAGGGGGGGGACATGAGAGAAGGGGGGGGGGAGGGGAAAGGAAAAGGAAGAGGGGGGGGAAACAGAGAGGAGGGGCGGGGACACGAGAAGGGGGGGAGGGGGGGGAGGACCGGAGCAGAAGGGGGGGGGAGAGGGGGGGGGGGGGGAAAACCCCCAGAGAGAAAGGGGGGAATGGAGAGGGGGGGGGGGAACAGGAGAGGGGGGGGGGGCACAAGAGAGAGAGGGGGGGGGAAGGGAAAGGAGAGGGGGAGAGGGGGAAGGAGAGAGGGGGAGGGGGACAAGAGAGAGGAGGGGAGGTGGGGAGGGGGGGCCGGGATCATCACCATCTCCATCACCATCACCCTCACCATCGTCATATCACCATCACCATCACCATCACCATCACCATCACCATCACCATCACCATCACCATCACCATCACCATCACCACCACCATCATCATCATCATCATCAGCAGCAGCAGCAGCAGGAGTGTCCCGGATCGGCGGCACTGTCTGGAGGCCACTACAATACCTACCAACATTATATGATTTTGTTTGCAGATCCGACGAAGAAATCAATTTTGGGGCAATTCGATTCTGTAGTCTCGATCCCCTACTCGAAGAATGCCAGAAAGGACATGCGGGTTGCACAGGTCGGGGTAGACAGGACACAAGGGTACCTTCCATTCGACATGGTCGACCTGCCGATCAGGGCCGACTGCTGCGGGGGCGAGGGCGCCAAGCCGAGCCTCTAGGGCGGATGCGGCCTGGGCGAGGGCGGCCGAAGGCTAGGAGGGAAAGAAACACACAGACACAATTAATCAACGATTCCCAGAAAATATGCGAAAATATGGGAAGTGGGGGGGAAGACAGAAACCCAGAAAATATAGGAAAATATGGGCAATCTTTTTATTTGTGTGTATTTATTTGTGTGTCCTGGGGCCCCTTCAGAAGGCCAGCCGTCGTCGGCCCGACGCCCCTGCGTGTCCTTCGCCAGCCGCTCGAGGTGCGGGCCACCGGGCACCTGCGCCGGGCGGGGGCAGGCTGGCCCCCCCCCCCCCCCCCACTGCCTCCTCCTGCTCCCCTCCTCCCTCCCTCCCTCCCCTCCCTCCCCCCCCTCCTTCGCTCCCTCCCCCCCCTCCCTCCCTTGCTCTCCTCCCCACCCCTCCCCTCCCCTCCCCTCCCCTCCCCTCCTCTCCTCTCCTCTCCTCTCCTGCTCTCCCTCCCTCCTGCCCTGGAGGCAGGGGCAGCTGCCCCGGAGGCAGGGGGCAGCCGCCGCGGCAAGGCGCGCGGACGCCGAGGCCGAGCTCGGCTGACGGAGCGCCTCTCGCGGGACCGTGGGGGCCTCGCCGCTGCCCCCGCGGAGTCGTCGAGGCCTGCAGGGTGCAAAGGGGGGGGGGGCGCGTCTCTTCGCCTCCAGTTTGCGTCCCCCCTCTCGTGATTTCGTCCCTCGCGCCCCTTTCGCTTCCTGCCCCCCCTTCCTCTTGTGGGCAGTATACCTTGTCCTCCTCCTCCTCCTCCTCCTCCTCCTCCTCCTCCTCCTCCTCCTCCCCGTGGTCGGAGGAGGAGAAGGAGCGGGACTAAGAGGAGGGGGAGGAGGTGGAAGGATTGGATTGGATTGGACCTATCGCGAAGCGAAGCTACATGATCTGACCGCCGTCCGAGCATGGGCCCAGGCTGAGACAGACAACTACTACTCAAGATTTGGGCATAAAACCCCTATGGATTCGCTCCAGGTGCGACTGCCTGGTACTGGTAATAAGGTCAGGTCTACAAGCTTGGGCCAAACTCGGCCTTAGCTGCTGACTGGCGTAAAACCCGAGCCGCAAGTCCAAAGCCCAAGGGTGAGGCGTACGACTCGTCCTCCCCGCCCCACCTCCTCCAGCAATGGGGAGGAGAGAGTGTTCTCAGCGAAGGGCGTCTACACACCACCACCAACATGCCTGGTCATGGCCATCCTGCTGGGCCCCAGGATACTGTGTAGACCCTCCTGGCCCAGCCGGAAGGCGTGTACACCAGGCCAGGGCCCAATATGGCCCCGGCCTAGCAAGGTGGTGGTGCATTGGTGCCCTCCGCGGAGGTTGTGGGGAAGTTCTCTGGGTCACCTGACTGAGTGCCTCGCGCCGACCCCTCTGGAGAAGAGCATCCCTTGGGCCCAGACTAATCATCTTCGCGCCATGCGCGAGGCCTAGGCTTCCCGAGGGGAGAGGGCTCCTGTAGGCTCTGGGAGATGCTGGGGGTTTCTTCTCCTCCTCCTCCTCCTCCTCCTCCTCCTCCTCCTCCTCCTCCTCCTCCTCCCCCTCAAGGGGATACGCAATCCTCATGCTACCACAAGATGAGGAGCGCTGGACAGGGAACGAAGAGGCTGCTCTCGGCTACGGCGGGCCCTGGCCACGAACAGGCTCGCCGACCCGAGTCTGAGGAGTGGCCCGAAGACCAAGGCCCCTCCGAAGCCCACATGTGGTCCTTATTCAGCGCCTTGACAGTATGGTTGGACCTGGGACAGAAGAACATCCTTCAAGAACACGAGACCCTCTATCGGCCACAACAAACAGAACATCCAAGGGAGCACGACCACTCGGGCACCCTCCCCGAACCGACCTCGATCCTATCTATACCTCTGTCCGACGGTATTTCAGCGCCTTGACAACAAGGAAAACGAAGACGACAATGACGACGGCGGCACAACTGCTGGCTTGCCGTGACGCCGCGGCGACTGGCACCTGCGTGATCCCGAGCAGCCGCGCGGTCTTGTCGAACGCCTGCGTGTGGGGCGGGGCAGGGGGCCCGGGGTCGTCGTCCTTTTTGTCGTCGTCGTCGTCGTCCTCGTCCTCGTCCTGCTCGTCGTCGTCGTCCTTTTCGTGATCCGTTTCATCGTCGTCGTCTTTTTCGTCGTCGTCGTCGTCGCCGTCGTCGTCGTCAACGTCGTCGTCGTCCTTTTCGCCGTCCTTTTCATCGTCGTCCTTTTCGTCGTCCTCTTCGTCGTTTTCGTCGTCGTCGTCCTTTTCATCGCCGTCGGCCGTTTCGTCGTCGTCGTCGTTGTCGTCGTCGTCGTCCTCGTCCTGGTCGTGGTCGGCCTCCTTCGGGTCGTCATGTTCGTCGTCCTTTTCATCGTCCTCTTCATCGTAGTCGTCCTTTTCGTCGTCCATTTTGTCGTCGTCGTCTTTCTCGTCGTTCTTTTCATCGTCGTCCTGTTCGTGGTCGTCCTTCGTCGCCGTCCTTTTCGTCGTCGTCGTCGTCGTCGTCGTCGTCATCGTCTGTGTCGTCGTCTTCGTTCTTTTCATCGACGTCGTCTTTTTCGTCGTCATCCTTTTCGCCGTCGCCGTCGTTCTCGTGGTCGGCCTGGTCGTCGTCGTCCTTTTCGTCGTCCGTTTCATCTTCGTCGAGCAGTTCATCGTCGTCGTCCTTTTCGTCGTCGTCGTTGTCCTTTTCATCGTCGTCGTTGTCGTCCTCGTCGTCGTCCTTTTCATCGTCGCCCGCCGTTTCGTCGTCGTTCTTTTCGTCGCCGTCGTCGTCCTTCTCGTCGTCGTCGTCGTCGTCGTCGTCGTCATCATCCTCGCCCTCGTCGTGGTCGTCGTCCTTTTCGTGATTAATTTCATCGTCGTCGTCTGTTTTGTCGTCCTTTTCGTCGTCCTTTTCATCGTCGTCGTCGTCGTCCTCGTCGTCGTCGTCGTCGCAGTCTTTGTCGTCGTCCATTGTGTCGTCATTTTCATCGTCGTCAACCGTTTCATCGTCTTCGTCCGTTTCGTCGTCGGTCGTCGTCGTCGTCGTCGTCATCATCGTTCTCGTCGTCGTCCTTTTCGTGATCCGTTTCATCGTCGTCGTCATTTTCGTCGTCGTCGCCGTCGTCGTCGTCAACGTCGTCGTCGTCCTTTTCGCCGTCCTTTTCATCGTCGTTTGTTTCGTCGTCGTCGTCGTCGTCGTTGTCCTTTCCGTCAACGTCGTTCTTTCCGTCGTCTTTGTTATCGTCGTCGTCCGACTCGTCGTCGTCGTCGTCCTCGTCCTGGTCGTGGTCGGTCTCCTTCGGGTCGTCATTTTCGTCGTCCTTGTCATCGTCCTCTTCATCGTCGTCCTGTTCGTCGTCGTCCATTTCGTCGCCGTCCTTTTCGTCGTCGTCGTCGTCGTCATCGTCTTTGTCGTCGTCTTCTTCGTTCTTTTCATCGACGTCGTGTTTTCGTCGTCATCCGTTTCGTCGTCGTCGTCGTCGTTATCGTCGTCGTCGTCCTGTTTGTCGTTCTTTTCGTCGTCCTTTTCGTCGTCCGTTTCATTGTCGTCGAGCTGTTCATCGTCGTCGTCCTTTTCGTCGTCGTCGTCGTCCTTTTCATCGTCGTCGTCGTCCTCGTCCTCGTCGTCGCCCTTTTCGTCGTCAGCCGTTTCGTCGTCGTCGTTCCTTTCGTCATCGTTGTCCTTCTCGTCGTCGTCGTCGTCCTTTTCGTGGTCCATTTCGTCGTCGTCGTCTTTTTCTTCGTTCTTTCCATCGTCGTCGTCGTCCTCGTCGTCGTCGTCCTTGTCGTCGTCCATTGTGTTGTCATTTTCATCGTCGCCAGCCGTTTCGTCGTCGTCGTCATCCTTTTCGTCGTCAGTCGTCGTCGTCGTCGTCGTCCTTCTCGTCGTCGTCGTCGTCATCGTTCTCGTCCTCGTCCCGCTCGTCGTCGTCGACGTCCATTTTGTGATCCATTTCATCGTCGTCGTCTTTTTCGTCGTCGTCGTCGTCGTCGTCGTCGTCGTCGTCGTCGTCAACGTAGTCGTCGTCGTCGTCGTCCTTTTCGCCGTCCTTTGCATCGTCCTTTCCATAATCGGTGTATTCGTCGTCGTCATTTTCGTCGTCCTTTTCGTCGTCCTTTTCATCGTCGTCGTCCATTTCGTCGTCGTCGTCGTTGTCGTCGTCGTCGTCCTCGTCCAGGTCGTGGTCGGCCTCCTTCGGTTCGTCATTTTCGTCGACCTTTTCATCGTCCCCTCCATCGTAGTCGTCGTTTTCGTCGTCCATTTCGTCGTCGTCGTCTTTCTCGTCGTTCTTTTTCATCGTCGTCCTGTTCGTCGCCGTCCTTTTCGTCGCCATCCTTTCCGTCGTCGGTCGTCGTCGTCGTCTTTGTCGTCGTCTTCTTCGTTCTTTTCATCGACGTCGTCCTCGTCGTCGTCATCCTGTTCGTCGACGTCGTCGTTATCGTCGTCGTCGGCCTGGTCGTCGTCGTCCTGTTCGTCGTTCTTTTTCGTCGTCCGTTTCATCGTCGTCGAGCTGTTCATCGTCGTCGTCCTTTTCGTCGTCGTCGTCCTTCTTCATCGTCGTCGTCGTCGTCGCCGTTCTCGTCGTCGTCGTCCTTTTTGTCGTCATTTTCACCGTCGTCAGCCAGTTCGTCGTCGTCGTTCTTTCCGTCGTCGTCGTCGTCGTCGTCATCGTCCTCGGCCTGGTCGTCGTCGTCGTCATTTTCGTGATCCATTTCATCGTCGTTGTCGTTTTCGTCGTCCTTTTCGTCCTTGTCATCGTCGTCGTCGTCCTCGTCGTCCTTGTCGTCGTCCATTGTGTCGTCATTTTCATCGTCGTCAGCCGTTTCGTCGTCGTCGTCCTTCTCGTCATCGTCGTCGTCGTCCTTCTCGTCGTCGTCGTCGTCATCATTCTCATCTTCGTCATGCTCGTCGTCGTCGTCGTCCTTTTCGTGATCCATTTCATCGTCGTCGTCTTTTTCGTCGTCGTCGTCGTCGCTGTCGTCGTCGTCAACGTCGTCCTTTGCATCGTCCTTTCATCGTCGTCCGTTTCGTCGTCGTCGTCGTCGTCCTTTTCGTCGTCGTCGTCGTCGTCCTTTCCGTCGTCCTTTTCATCGTCGTCGTCCGTTTCGTCGTCGTCGTCGTCGTCGTCGTCGTTGTCGTCGTCGTCGTCCTTGTCGTGGTCGGCCTCCGTCGGGTCGTCATTTTCGTCGTCCTTTTCATCGTCCTCTTCATGGTAGTCGTTCTTTTCGTCATCCATTTCGTCGTCGTCGTCTTTCTCGTCGTCCTGTTCGTCGTCATCCTGTTCGTCGCCGTCCTTTTCGTCGTCGTCGTTTGTTTCGTCGTCATCCTTTTCGTCGTCGTCGTCGTTATCGTCGTCGTCGGCCTGGTCCTGGTGGTCGTCCTGTTCGCCGTCCTTTTCGTCGTCCGTTTCATCGTCGTCGAGCTTTTCATCGTCGTCGTCCTTTTCGTCGTCGTGGTCCTTTTCATCGGCGTCGTCGTCGTCCTCGTCGTCCTTTTTCTCCTCATTTGTATCGTCGTCAGCCGGTTCGTCGTCGTCGTTCTTTTCGTCGTCGTCCTCGTCCTGGTCGTCGTGATCGTCGTCCTTTTCGTCGTCCTTTTCATCGTCGTCGTCGTCCTCATTGTCGTCGTCGTCCTTGTCGTCGTCCAATGTGTCGTCATTTTCATCGTCGTCAGCCGTGTCGTCGTTGTCGTCGTCCTTTTCGTCGTCGGTCGTCGTCGTCGTCGTCGTCGTCGTCGTCCTTCTCGTCATCGTCGTCGTCATCACTCTCGTCCTCGTCCTGCTCGTCGTCGTCGTCGTCGTCCTGGTCGTCGTCGTCCTTTTCGTCGTCATCGTCGTTTTCGTCGTCGTCCTTTTCGTGATCCATTTCATCGTCGTCGTCTTGTTCGTCCTCGTCCTGTTCTTCGTCGTCGTCCTGTTCGTCGTCGTCATCGGTTTCGTCGTCGTCATCCTTGTCGTCGTCGTCGTCCTGGCCGTGGTGGTCGTCGTTCTTTTCGTCGTCGTCCTTTTCGTCGTCGCCGACCCTTTCGTAGTCGCTGTCGTCGTCCGTGTCGCCGTCCTTTTCGTTGTCATTTTCATTGTGGTCGTCCTTCTCTTCGTCCTTTCCGTCGTGTTTTCGTCGTCGTCGTCGTCCTCGTCCTGGTCGTCGTCGTCGAAGTCGTCGCCGTCGTCCTTTTCTGCCTTTTCATCGTCGTTGCCGTCGTCGTCGTCCGTTTCGTCGTCCTTTTCATCGTCCTCGTCGTCGTCGTCCTTTTCGGCGTCGTCGTCGTCGTCGTCCTCGTCGTCGTCGTCGTAGTCGTCCTTTTCGTCGTCCTTTTCACCCTCGTCGTCCTTTTTCGTCGTCGTAGTCCACCTTTTCGCTGTGGTCGTGGACGTCGTCGGCCTTTTCATCGTCCTCGTCGTCGTCGGCCTCGTCGTCGTCGTCGTCATCGTGTCGTCAAGTCGTCGCCTTTTCGTCGTCGTCGTCCCTTTCGTCGTCGTCCTTTCCGTCATCGTCATCGTCGTCCCTTTCGTCGTTCTTTTCGTCGTCGTCGTCGTCCTTTTCATCATCGTCATTGTCATTTTCGTCGTCTGGTCCTCGTCATCGCCGTCTTCGTCGTCGTCGCCGTCGTCGTCGTCTTCGTCGTCCCGTTCGTCGTCCTTTTCATCGTCGTCGTCGTCCTTTTCGTCGTCCTTTTCGGCGTCGTCGTCGTCGTCTTGGTCGTCGTCGTCGTCATTTTCGTCATTTTCATAGTCGTCGTCCTTTTCGTCGTCATCGTCGTCGTCATCCTCGTCGTCGGATTGTTTTTCGTCGTCGTCCTTTTGGTTGTCGTCGTCGATATTTTCGTCGTCGTCCTTTTCGTCGTCGACGTCGTCCTGGTCGACGTCGTACCCGTCATCGTCCTTGCCGTCATCGTCATTTTTGTCGTCGTCCTCCTACTCCTCCTCATCGACCTTTTCGTCGTCCTGTTCGTCGTCGTCCTTTTCGTCGTCGTTGTCCTTTTCGTCGTGGTCGTCTTTTTCGTCGTCGTCCTTTTCAGCGTCGTCCTCGTCGTCGTC